CTGCTCCTTCATAATTACTGAACTAAATATATGCATTTGTTTGTGTTTAAAACATGCACAGCTTGTGCCAACTTTTCCTCATCCTCTGATTCTGGGACAAGAGGCAAACCTGTTGCGAGGATGTGGGATATTTACAAAATGCCAAGGACAACGAGAGGGTTAAGAATCAAGGTAGGTAGGTAATATGGAAAGTTAGATAATGTTCTGACTAATAGACTGTTTTAGGTGTAATAAAATAAGAAGTGTGACATGAATCTGTTGCATCAGGGGTTGAGAGTAAAGGGAAGTGTTCTGTGCATCTATTTACTGTAGGCAGTGATTCATACTCTCCACAGAACGCTCCCTTTGAAACAAAGGTGAGTGTGTGGGAAACAGGTGACTTTCCCTAAGCATATAAATTAATAGATTCTTTGTTGACAAGAAAAAAGTTCCTTTGAAGTGTGTTCCAATTCTCAGACATTTAATTTCTATTTTGGTTCCAAAGGTTTTAGTTTGTAAATCACTGACTGAATAAAAAGACTCTAAATTACCACACTGTTTTGGTTACTGGTGTGGACAGTGCTATGCCAACAAAGGCCTAGTGACCAATACCTGTAAAGGGCAGGTGGCATTAATGGGGATTTATTTACAACAATGTTCATACAGATCAGACAAAGGGTCCTTGTCTCTTCTTTAATTCTGTAAAACGGTGGTATCAGCTAGCAGGTGAAAATAAAGATGGAAAAGTTGGTATTATGCTAATTTTTTTTGTGTGTACTTTCTGATGTCATGAACTGATACGATATTTCTTTATGTGCGTCTCTAAATGGTCAAATAAATGCTGGACATCTCTAAAGGAAATAAAAAGACATGTGGCATAAAGGTGTGAGCTCAACCCCGACCCACAGTTTGGACACCAAGCAGAAAAATGCTCCGCCATTTTTATTTTCCTGATCGACAGAAGGCTATTTGAATCCAAAAGAAAACAGATAATAAATTGAAATGTTCTCCATAATTTCACAGCCAGCTGAACAGAAAGTGAGCAGAGCTTTCACACCAATATTTCATTTGAAAACACAATACAGTAAACAAAGCGTTCCCTAAACTGAGGGTCACCATGTCCACGTTACAATAAACACTTTACTGTGCACAACTTTGCACAGTAAAGTGTCACCAAAAGGCAACTTACAGCAGTGCAACGTTCACACCTCAGTTATGTACTGTTATTAAACATTAGCCTATTCTGCCTATTCTTAAACTACCCATGAGGACAGTGAGACACTGAACAAGGTTTTAGAGGTGAGGGCATGCTCCAACAGTTAGATAAAGTAGATCTCTTTTGAATGCTGAACTTGGGTCACCACCAGCTGGGGCAAGTTAGTTCATGTTGTGTTACATTTCTTTTTATTATAAATTACATCAATCCTGGACCTTTATCAACAATCTCTTTGTCAATAGAACCAGACTTCTACATTTATTTAACACTCTTTAATGTCACATTGACATGCTTCTACATTTATTTAACACTCTTTAATTGACATGATAAATAAATAAAGTAGGGCTTTTGTTAAATATAATCGATTTAAACTGATATTGGACAGAAAGACGCATAGTGTAAACTGTATACGTTGGTATTTAAACACATTGTGTGAAAGCGTTTTTGTTTCACCTAAACACTTAACTTAAAATACCATCTCACATGACCAACATGGGTTTGTGGGTAAGACACCCTGCTTGTGTGAAAGGTCAGTAATTAAGTCAAGCTGACTGACCAAATGACCAGGGACTGAAGACCGGCTACTACTGATGAGGACGAAGTATTGAAAGTAACTCTCGACACATTCTACAAGCCACAACCAAGATGCACTGTCATGACTCAAATCAGCTAGCTCTGTGCTAAAATACTGTTCAACAGTCAGGATTTTTTTTTTGTCATTTATTATTCTGCTCATTCCTCCACCAGCTGACTCTTACCCTCCCTCGTTCCCACGAATAAACTAATGATATTGTCCTTGTGGAAAAGTACTGGCTTCCAGGCTGGGCTTTGTTCATTGTCTATTTCGGACAACGAAAACAGCAACAATCTGAACAGCCTGAAACAAACGCTGCGAGTAAACTCAGGGCATTGGAATGATGATGACATTTTTGGACCATGCAAATTATAATTAATGCACATCAATCTGTCAATGGTTGGCATGTTAGTGTATGAAATGAAAAATAGACGTAAAATTATTGTAATTATAACATAGCATGCCATCTGTGTCACTACCTAATAACTCAGATGACATGTTTTATCCTCAAGACTAATGATCACGAGTTTCAACATTCTCTGTTTGTTGGCTCAGATCAAACCTCGTCTTTTTTGAAATTTTGGATTTTTAAATCGTAACATTTTAACAGATTTTTTTTATCCTCTACAGATGTTCAACAACAGCCTAAGATAAGGTCAACAGTTATTACCTTCTGCTTCCTGTGTGGCCTTCAGGTCAAACGACTCAGCACAGATGGATAATCCAAGTGAGGCCTTGGATTTATGGGGTTTAGTTCATACATGTTTGACAGTTCCATCCTCAGGGTCATCATTCTGTGTGTGTGTGTGTGTGTGAGTGTGTGAGTGATTGGTTGCAGGTGTATGATTCAAGGAGCAATTGTGTGACCTGTTTCAGGTGGTGACCGTGAGCTGATTGGTCCTCCAGTGACGGTGGAAGCATAAAAAGCCAGATTCTGGCAGTAGTTGGTTTGGCATGTCTAAATCACGCTCTCTCAGCCTGTCAGTCATAAAAAAGCCAGATTCTGGCAGTAGTTGGTAATTCTTAATCACATATGCCTGTGGGTTTTATGTTTTTATTTTTGTTTTGTTCGGGAGGGATGGGTCTTTCAGTTTCCATTTGAAACCAGGTTTTTTGGGGTTTTTTTTACACCTGAAGACCACTTTACGTAGGCCTGATTTAAAGTTTTTTAGATTGTGTCTAGAGGAAAAGTCACATGTTGTGGTTTAATATCTTAAACCTCACCATTTCAGTTGGAAGACAATTGTTAGTCTTAAAGGGGAGATGACATGAACTTGACGTTCTTTAAGATCTACTTCTTGTTGTCATGGATAAACAGATGTGCTCATTTTATTTTGTATTTATTTTTTATTTTCAACCATGTTACTAACATGCTGTGGGGGAAACTCCAATCGACTAAATCACTGGTACTTTTTAATTCTCGTCAAAGCTTAGTCAACTGGCTGTAATGAAAAAAAGCCACTGCACAGCGGCACGTTTTTAACATCGGTCATAAACGAAGGTCATTACAGTGAACGGGACATGAGCCACAGCCAAACCAAAACGTCAAAACCAACGGCCAATATTCTGGTTCCTGTAACTGCTGCAATATAAAAACAACAACATTTTTAACGGTCAAAAACAACTTGTGTGTTTTGCTTCCCATCAACAACACCATAAAACAAATCTAATAGACCCTACAGTAACTGCTGTCAGCACTGACTGGTAATTAAGACCTGACTTTTATTGCCCATTGTTTATCTATATTTTGTCATATCCCGACACTTTCACCATCGCAGCCAAAGTTCTCCTAAACACAAAAATTCCCCATGGTAATGTTGGTATGTTTTTTTTTCTTTTCCCTAAGTGTCTTTGGTTGTATCATTTAAGCAATAAGTTCAGGCGCAAAGCAAAAATACAATGTACTCACCAGAGGGGGAGTGTGGGAGTGTCTCTGTGACAACATTGCATGGCATCCAGAAGGAGAAGAAACACTCCTTTCATTTTGCAACCACAAAGATAAATTCTGCCTTAACCAAGTATCATGGAAGATGTCTCCATTTCAGCCACCTTAAACTGACTTGACTGGTTTCATGCTGTAGACATCCACAGCAGAGGAACATGGTCTCGAGGTAGATTCTTTATGTTCTTGATGAACTTCATTTCAGTCATACAGACAATACTTACACACTTTGGTCAAAAGGTTGGGATTCTAACTTTTTTAATGATTTCAGAAGTGTGTAAAAATGCCAAAAATAATAAATAAATAAATAAATAAAAGAAGGAAAAAAAACCCTTCATTTTGTCCTTTTATCAGGGGTCACCACAGTGGTAGTCCCAGAATTCTGGGGTTGAATTCTGGGACCAGGTGTACTTTCTGGAGGTACAATCATTACTCTACTCTAACTTCCAGAAAATTAAAATACAATAACAATGAAAACAGAAATCAGAGTTTTGCATTAAAATCTTTCAAATGCATTGATTTATACTTTATTATTATTATTTTTACTTTTTTATTTTAATCCTTCTAACCTAAAGCTCAGA